CCTTGGCCTGTGGTACGCTCAGGATTATTTGAGAAGCACGTTGTTGAATCTGATGTCGAAAGAAGCGATGACGAGAAGAAGTGAAGGAGGCGTGTTGCGAATGAATACCGTAACATCTGACGAACAAGTAGAGGCTAAATCAGCAGAATTGTTCCTAGAAATCCCAGGTTCTGCTATCCTGCTCACTGAAACATTCCTTGAACCAGACCAGCTTTATATCTGCTTTTAACACATTACGTATTGCAGTTGAATATATCAAGTCGTTGTTTCTGCTAATCTCATAAAACATATCAATCAAGAACATGCAGTACAGTAAACAGTAGACAAACGACGTGTCCTTTGTTAAGGACGATATTGCTGAAGCAGACTTCGCTTTCACGTTCAGCAGAGGATCGTGCTGTTCCCCTAACCTCCCACCTCTGCAGCTTCCACGTTGGACTGTGCTGCACTCAGTCTGCGCTAAATGAACCGAGTACCAGTCAGGAAGTGGTGGCGAGGGTTTTTCGGTTCACGACAGTTCACGGCACAAAACGATTTATTTCGTGTTGATTTTGACATCGGGTGTAAGTGGTGAAGACAGACGCAGTGACGGATCCTGTAAATGTGCACACCTATTTCCCGTCAACACACGCCCAAACTGAATGCACCACACGTCCACATCAGCTAGACTGCACCGATCTCTCAGTTCGCATGAACTACGTCACTTGGTGATAAACACGCCACAGGAGATGCACACATGTAAATTATCTCATGAAGTCTACGCCTTACGTTTTTTGACGGTGTCGGATAATCAAGTCAATATGCTTTCCGCTTGCAAAGCCGCTAAAATGACCTTCTGTCGAATCATAGGTAGCGGTGCCATTTTTCTGATTGTGGTTTCTGGTTCTCCATATGTGGATTTTACGCACAGAGAAGTGGTGGACGGCAGGAGCTTTGTGCTCTTGATGCCACTTGATCACACACTTCGGTTGAAGCGTCACGAGTGGAGCACTTATGTTATTGGTAAGCAACTTCGGTTCCATAGTTTGAGACGTGGCATTTTTTTTTAACTTTCTACTAATATAAACACAGTCATTAAGCGATAAACACACAGTAAGGAATTTGCATATAAAGACACCGTAAACGACAAGTCCACATGACTGCCCCGTCACAAACCCAAGCACAAGTGGAATGCAGGTGTTTGCAGGTCTATGCATCATGGCTGCTCTTTTAACATTGCCGTGGATAACTGTCGGTTTCGAAGGAGACACGCCACCAAATCGAAGGAGTGAACCACTTGCGACGTCGGATGTGAGAGAGGTGAGCGGAAGAGGAAACGTCGAGGCGACTGCTCGGGCGGAGGCAATTTGGCGTCGGTCGCACCGAAGACCACCTCGTCCGATTTGTCCAGGCAACCGAGAACCTCCAGGACCAGGTCGTCGGTAGGCGCATTTTGCCCTTTCTGTTGAACTTCAACAACCCCTACTCAACATTTTGTCAGCAGTTTGATTGTTGTGTCAGGGAATATACCTGTTGTGAGATTTTGTGTTTGGCTAGCGTAGATAAACCAACCATTATTCTTCAGAACGCAATTTGCTGCCAGTGTGATCATTGGCATCAACTCACAAAGACTGCAACAGTTTTGTGAGCATCGGGTAATATTCTGGCGAATTAATGAATGCGCTGCACACGTGAAAACGTGTCAGCACGAACATTATGTTATTTCCAATGTCAACTCGATGTTCCTAATGAGGCTGAGAGCATAGTCTGAAGCTACACCCTTCCTCACAATCTTGACAACTCAGGACACTTTGATCACGTTTCAAGATCAGTCCAGTGGGAGTCTGATTTGGTGGGTTCTTTGACTCCCTACCATGAAAGCAATTGCACCAGGGAAGTAATTGCAGTATTAATTGCAATTTGCACCTTCACTTCTGCTTTTACCTTCTCAGCTTACTGCTGAATGGTTTGTGGTGCACATATTGCCAATCAATTCATACAAAAGAAGAGTTGATGCTGTATTTGAGTGCTTTAAATAAGACCTGTACACCTCTAAGTCAAGTTCATATTTCTTAAACGAGCTCACAAAATAAAAGCAAGTAGAATAGGCGTCATCTATGACAGGTGTCTTTAGATGGCGCAAGCTGGCCGCGTTTTTACCTTGTGGGTATTCAAAGTTCTGAAAGAGTGATGTAATTTATGACCAGAATATTTAGTGTTAAGTAGTGGGAGCAGACATGGCTAAGTTGCTGGTGCGTGAAAAAGAGCAGCTGAAGCGGTGAATGGATAGGACTGGGTGAGAAGGTAACTCCGCATGGTGAATGGAAGCGGTGTGCAACGGGGACGCTATATGGGCAAATGTGGCGTCGGAATTGATGGATATGTATCGACACGGTTCACCGCCTGCTCGACACGCCACCCCGCACCAGTCGAGACGCTGAACACCACGACTGTACATGCCACCGTGATGTGCTTAGCTGCAAGTGCGGCCACAGTCCACGACGCCTAATCCGATGCCACAAACGTGGTCAATCGCGTTGTTGACATGAATCCATCGACACCAGTTTCCCACTCTGTACTTGATATCCTGACTACCATCGTTACAGGAAGCAGATGCCACAAAAGGTTTCATTCCGTTTGTTTGTGCAGTGATGTAGTGGGTTTCCCTTGCTTACGGAAAATGTAACAAAAACAAAATCCGAGGTCTATTTCAGTGGCAACGTTCTTAACAGACACGTTCGTTTGTTCACTGTTAACTCTGCAGCAGGTTCTTCAGTGAGCAGTCTGAGTTATATTTACACAAACAATAACCGAGTGTATCCAACTGTACTACGCGTGCTATTGAAAGACGACACAAAGCTGGTTTGATACCAGAAACGTTTCGGCGAACAGGAAAGCGAAACCTGGGATTTCTCAGGATATTGGCAAATGCCACGCCATCTGATTAGTACAGGCTGCCGAGAACATCCTACTTCTGGTTCCTGAGGCCGAAGTTTGTCCTTCTAGAGGAACTTCAACTAAACCTCACTCCACAATTTGTTTACAGTTGAATGCTTGTATCAGCCCACGTACGTGTTGAGCGATTTTGTGTTTGATTAGCGTGAAGAGCAACTATCATTCTGCAGAGCGCAATTTGCCATTAGTGTGATCTCTACTATCAACGCATCACTACTGCAGCAGTTTTGCGAGTGTCTGGGCACTTTCAGGCGCATTAATGAAGGTGTTTCATCTGCTTCAAGTGAAATTACTAATGGTCGCAATCGAGATATGCCGAGGCACACACTCCAGAGACGGGCAAATGTGTGAGCGCGAGTATTATGCCACCTCAAATTTTCATATTGAATGCTCATGACCACTGCTGCATTCATCCTATGTGTTGGCGATTGCATTCAAATCTGGCAATTCTGTGCCTACTTGAGTGTGCACGATGGCATTCTCATCTCTGATGCGTCCAGTGTTCTCCCAAATTAGGGCCGCCATTCCACACCCCGGCCCACACTTTGTACATCTGCGCACGTGCGCACCGACAACTTGCGTCCACACGATGTTTATACACCAAACAGACCTTCAACGACTACATCAAAGGGGATCTTGAAAAACACACCGCTTAGATAAACAATGTGATTGGACGCGAGTAACGCCGTTGTGGTTGTGCGTATATAAAAGGAGACATGGTCGCCGTCTATTCCATCTCACAGCATTCCCTACATTCCCACTCACGAGCAAGCTCGTACACACTGACACGTGAAATGCAGTCGTCCACGGGCCTGGGTCTCTCCGCTCTACTTCTCCTCTTCCTCCTCCTCCTCTCGACTCACACACGCTCAGCCGTTGTCTCTGGCGCGGCGAAGTCACAGAGCCTGGAGTCAGGAGAGCTGGGGTGGCACGATGGTGACCCAGTTGTCGCAGTGGCGTCGGTGTCAGGCAGTGGCCAATCTGAGCATCATGATGGCCTCCAACCCGCCGTGCGAAAAAGTCACAGATATCGGGATCAGAGAAATCGACGTGGAAGGCATCGTCCGAGCGATAGTTTGGGTTTACGTTTAGATTATTCCGTGTGAGTGCATTCCTCGTGGATGCGAGCGTCTAATAAAATCCCATTGTGGTGCTAAACTTTCTGCCTATCTTGCTTATTTTAATGGAGTCGGAGGTGGAGTTAGTTAAAGTGGCAATCATACTTGGTCACTTACTGTTACCGAGTGTGCTAATGGCAACGTAAGAGTTAGGCAAGTTTACTTTGCAAGGTCAGAGTATGGCAAATAGCAATTGAGGTGGGTTTGAATCGAGGCTAAGAACAACGTCAAGTTGTGGACAATTTCTTCATTGATTTATTGACAACTTCTGTGAACCCTTCGAACACCGAATATTTGCATCTGGTCCTTTTATTTTTGATTGTTAACTGTGATGTTTCAAATATGGTGTTGTAGATTGTGCTGGTACACTTAAATTTCAAATTGAGATTTCGATGAATTCTTATGTTGCTGTGGACGTAGTACTAGATTTCATTAATCCATCCTGCTGTCTTGACATTTTACCATGCTTCGATAATATAGCCACAATCTAACAGAATTTGGTTGTATAGAATTGATATCCACTTATTTGGCGAAGGCATTGCCTTTTATTCACTTTACGATGTACGATAATATCATTCAGGTCACTAAGTTAAAGTCACCTATATTTGTTTTGATGATGAACTCGCATTTGCCAAAGGAGTTTAGAATTTATTCGCTCATTAGTATTAACCCACTTACATCAGTCTATGCCGAACATTAAATTCGAAGTTACTTGGTGCAATGCAAACATTAACTACATGTGTTTGCATCAGCATGTGTCCTTGTCCTAATCGATAATGTCGAAAGCCCTCTGCGGCCAAAATATGACGCCGACGACCAATTTAGTATTGGTTTTCGCAAAGGCAGGTTGAAGCAGTTGGTGTTTGCCTAACAGCTTCTTTTTGGTCCTGTTCATTCAGCTACATGGAATGGCGACATTCATGCGTAATTGTAGCAATCTACTTTAGTCGTCGATGGTCCAGAACTTGAAACATACATTGCATTTATGTCGGTTAAAACGTGCAATTAGTTAAGCTGAATTTGCTTGCGTTCTTCGGTGGCTTGTCTCGATGACCTGAACGTCCAACTACTATAAGCGTTTTCCCACAATAGTAGCCAAACAGTAGTATGCTGTCCAATGTATGTAATAATTGTAATAGTAATTGACAAAACAGTCTCTGCAAGGCTAAGTAAAACAGCCTTTAAAATACCGAACGAGAGGTACCTTAGCTTGCACTTCCCCATTCAGGTCTGCAACTCATGTATTGACTTCTATCGGTGATCAGTAGCATAGACACCGGTGTTCCCAGGGGCTGCTTACAAATAACTAACTATTCGTAGAGCGATACAGCACGGTCTCTTCTCGTAGGCGAAGAGATGAAAGCGCCTTCGATCTCTGACCGTCGAACTGTTATCTTCAACATGCTGGTTGGAAGTTATTTAAGTAAGGCAAATTTACCAAGTACAGACCTTGGCATTCCACCTACAACATCTAGGCTAATGGTGACATCGTCTAAATTCCTCGTGACGAAATTACTCAGAAGAAACAATGTGTTTCCGACAATGAAAGTTCAACCAAAGCACGGGGTTGGGAAGGCAAAGTTGACAAGGTAGGCCGCTAAGTGGAATTGTCTTCGCTTAAGGTTACGGATGCAACCCTACAGTTGTGCTTAAAGCAGCCTGTGAGGAAACACCGCTTGCTACACCCTGACCTCGCGGAAACTATTTGTACAAGGTTGAGGTGATGCAGCTTTACTGCATTCGATTTCTATCATCTTGTCAGTGCAATTTTAATAATTTTCAAATGCTTTCTTCCGAATGTGTGCGAAAAGGTGCGCTCGCAGTTGGCAAAACGATCTCTGCCAGTCTGGATTAAACAGACGCATGTCTGCAGAAGTTTCAATTAGTTGTTACCCTAGTTTTAACATTGTAAAATAAGTCATTTCGCCACAGGAAATCTCTATTTCTAAACGATCTATGGCATCGCTCACTTAAAATCAACTCCATAACTTAACATTAAGGATGACGAGGAAGTTATTCTCAACTAGATGTGCTTTTTGCCATCAAGACAGTGAAAGTAGCCTTAAATTATCCAGGACGAAATAAATAATTGTTAAATAAATAATTATTGATTGATTGTTGTTATTCAATCAGTAAACTCAGTAGTGAGTGATGATGTTGGTTGTGCTTTGGAAATTGAATCAAACCAACAAATGATCACCACCTCTTTGTAAATGGAGTTTATCAATAACTTATGTTTTACACGTCTCCTGAAAAAGTATTTCCCTCTGCAACCTCAAGTGTACATGGACGGGATTAAATAGTTATAATTTGTCAGAGTGGAGGCATGTCAACAGGGGCTGTTTTGCATGCGTTTATATGAAGGTGAATTGTATTAATGATTTTTTTTCGATATTAAATAAGCCAATCCAATCAATTAAATATGCCCTTAAAGAAGTCAGTGCGACCCGACATGCCGAGCAGGTCAGTAAATTACTGAGAATCAGTTATGAACAAAATTAGGAGACACGAAGTATGACTGAGGCCAAACAAATGATTCGATCCACAGTCAGGGCTGAAATACTGGTGAATCAGTGGAAGTGAAGGCGATTATGTGAGTAATGTGTCACGACTATGACGACTGTGAACGAAATTTTTAAGTTCATTGTAAGAGGTGAATCGTTTGTGCAGTCAGTAACATGCCAACGTTTGGACAGAAAAGTATCATGGGAAGGGTGTGCTGCGCCACAAATCACAAGATACTCAAGCAGGTGTGGTCTGGGATAATTTGATTTGCTTTGGCTGTAGTGTGTCGGCTAAAGTGGACAAAGTTGTTGTTAGAACAGACTGGCTGGCTGGCGAAAGAAGCACACACGTGGAGCAAAGACGCTGTTTTTGATGTATCAGGTAAAGTTCACGTCATCGAACAATCCGGTGACCGCAGCAATGTTGTTAATTTCCTAGACACTTAAATTGGTTTTCTGAATCGTCTGACTGACGCAAGGTTTCATATTACATGCAAGTGGTGTAGGTTCCGCATGCAATTACTTCCAGAGAGCCAAAAATAATTTTGCTGTTAGATGAGGTGTATTTTGCTACAGCCTTTAGTTATTAAAGTGACTTCATAGACGCGGAATTGTGCGAACAAAGTTTTAGGCGTTATTTTTTATCTGACTACTGGTGCTTGGGAGTGCATTTTGTTATCGTCAACACATAATGCAATGTTTTCGAGATCTAGTCGAATACTTCAGGCTTTTTGCGCAACGTTATGTAATATTGTTCCAAATTACTATTTGTAGATCCCGAGCGCTGAAACTGCATTAATAAAGGTGAGGTTCAGTAATCGAAAACGCTAGCCGCTTTTGCGAGACAATGCTTACGAATGCTTCTTAAGGGCCGATGAAGCATTTTACTTTATGCTGTCAATAATTAGTTACTTAATGCACCCTTAAAATTGCGACTTCAGTAAATTGCAAAAAAATTAGCCGAAAGTTTTAATTGTGTGCAAGGATGATAATACCGCATTTTTCTCAAAAGATAAATATCCTGTCCTTTATTTATTAAAAATTATTTTTATTTTTGAAACTAGCAAAATATGAAACACAATCTTGAATATTATTTCAAGAGCGCTACTGACGTTATGTGGAAGAGTTTACTTAAAAGTCTTCCAAATTTTCACTAAAGACATGTACATACAAATGATGAGCATTTGAAAACACCTCTACTCAGTTAATTTAACCGCTATAGACAAAAAACAATGAAACCATAGTGTCGACCAAAATAGGAACAATGGTTTGTTGGTCTTGAACTTGTATGGCACAATTCAATTTTTAAACGCCTGTGAAAATTATCAAATTATTACTTAACGAGTATGCAATATTTTGATTAACTATTGTATTTGCGACAACATAAATATATCTTAATATAATTTACCTATGGCTAAGCAAACATTTTATACATTGCTTTTGACAAAGTAGAAAACAGAAAACAGTAAAACTAGCAAAAAAGGCAAATTATTGTCATCAATTTTTAAAAAAAAAATTTGCGACTGACGAATGTATTTATGAAATAATAATTACAAAGAATAACAAGTTGCGCGGAATGTTCATTGACCTTCGTTTTGTTTTAATGATTAAAAAGCAGTTGAGTGTCCGTAGTCTTTTTGATACAAGAGTTTGTAACGCGCGAGCGGGCATCCGACCCCATGAAATGGACTTCTTGCGAGTCGGCAGGAGAGACATGGTCCAAGCAAACACGGAGTAAAGCATGAGACTAGGACAGGAAGCTTTTTGAATTATCTATTTGGAGAATGCTTGCAAGATGAATAAAGGGAAAAGAGGGCCAACATGACGGCAGAATTGGAGAGTTTCGCTAAGATTCATATACTAGCTGTTGGGCAGGCCTAAAATGGAAAAAATATAAGGAAACGTTTCCAGGCATGAATCGTGTTCAATGGCATGGAAGATGGCGTGCGTGACAAGTTTGTATCGCAGTGTTGTTATTGTCCACTCTTTCCATGATTATGTCTTCCTGCCATCCTAACATCGTCAAGGCACATCTACGAGTTCTAGAGCAATCTTAGCTCTTCATATGGCTGTGCTTTTCTTAACCCTACTGTAACGCCTCTGCATTTATGTATTTTTGTATGGAATACATCTGGTTCACTCTGCTAGTCTTCTACCGTATGCCTGTTCGTCGGTCGTAATGGTGTAACTATCTTAGAGGGATGGATTAATTGCAATCTAGTCACTTAGGTAGGTACTGTGCGAACTCAATGGGTTTTCCTTATCTGATGGTGACTTTCTCGAGTATCATTACTTTCGTGTCTTTTTGTTTATCTGATATTAACGCACACTATTCTGCTAAGTTTTGGGTCTAATAGGTGTAACTACATTGTGGCACAACTGTTAGCAGAAATTAGTTATTGTCATTGTTTTATTGGGTATCTCGTTCAGTTGGTTCAGTTCTCCAGTAGAAAACATTCAAAATATCCGCAACTAGACGTGATGACGTCCCTCAAGTTGTTAGATCTGGCGATACACGGCAGAAATCTCGCCGACATAACTCTACCCCCTGAGTTAAATTTCACAATTCGATTACTGCTGGGCTATTTCCTTGGAAATTTCTTCCCTCCATCTTGGCTGCTAAATCCATATTTACACCAGGTCAGTCTCAAGAGTTCTACCTAGTGTTGAATAGTCCTGCACTTGCTGCTTTGGTGAATTCCTAGCTTTGAGTAGCCATAAGTCCGATCGTAACGCTGCTAGTACCGAAATAAACATGTTTTACTGTCCTCAGTCAGTAATTTTTCCGGTGGGTCTTGATTTGCTTTGTTTTTGTGGTTCCTCCTTAAAATTATGTGGATTTCCACGAGGTTCTAACCAATCTGTCATTGGATTTATATTCCAAAGTACCTATTTACTCTTGTCTACCAGTGAAAATATGAGTTTGCTGGTTGTGTGGTCTATTCATAATCTAATCACGTAAATCGTTGGCCCAGCGGTTTCGCTCAAGTTCGGGGATGAGGGGTCACATTGGATTTACCAGGCATTATTTTAATAACTATATTCCGTTCAATGGTTTTCCCCAGCTTATTCGCTCACTCATCATTTTGATTAGTTTCTGTCGTTCCATTAAGCATAATTCACCTATTGTATTTGTACCTACCACACCTGAAGCCCACTGCTACAGAATCAGTATGACCATGCCATAAATTGAAGCTGTTTTTTCCTCTTATGGCCTATCTGTAATTACAAGATTTCCGATTACAATTCTTATGAAGCTATCAAGCTAGCTACACTATAGGTAGCAAATGGTCGCGTATCAGGAGTAAAATATACCTACTTATGACTGATTCCCATACTCGTGGGGTTGCCATCATGCGAGACGTTTGGTTCCAAAAGTAGGAACTGTTTGTAATACGCACTGAGTGCATGATACTAAGTGAGGGTCGTTTAATTGATCATCCTAGTTACCCCTGGTTAAATTTTGAGGTAATTTACACTCTGTCAAGGTCAAAAGCGCATTGGAACCCATCCTGACGTATCATTATCTGCGTTCGGATTTTACCTCTTGCCACTTTTTTGCGTTCTTGTATGTGCTCCTAGGCTCTCTCTCTTGCAATTGTGGGTGACGACGGTTTCTATGCAGAAAGAAGAGATGCTGGTCTTGTTGAATGCCTCAGGCAGGGTCATCTTACCGATGTTTCTGTTTTGATGAACGGAGGCGTCGTGAGGACCAGTCCAAGACTCTTGTCAGCTGTACTCATCGATCACTGCAGACAGGAATCATTTCTACCAGGTTCGTTAACTACAATTACATGAATTTTGCCAGTGTTTTTGTGACAATGATTTATATCTAAGTTAGCATTTTTTCTTGGGCAACTACTTCCTTTCCATCAACTAATTTTCATTCTTAATTATTTTTAAGGCTTGCATGTTAACATTACAGAGGGTGAACCTGTGTGTCCCAAGCATATTGTTAGCACTCTTGTTGACAGAACAACAGGCCTTTTTTTTGGGAAATCCGGCCTGCGGAAACGCGTTCAATCCATCAATCCACGACACACCGAAATAGAAATTGAACGCCAGCTAATCGCGTTTGAAAAGGTGTTTGGAGCGCACCCACTACGCGTTGACGGGCACCAGCATTGTCACATTCTGCCAGGTTCGCTTCGGGCCAATAAAAAGTTTAAGCTCTATTATGCTTGCATGCTTTTCATGGCCAATATTGGAGTAGTGTAATACAGTGGGCATTTCAATCTTGAAGGCATTGTTGATGTGCTTTGTCGGCTCCTGCCACGGCACGGCGTCTCCTGGATTCGTCTACCGGAAGAAGCAGTGCTAAAACACTCGAATTCGCGAGAAATGGTATCCTGCATGAATTTGGACAGTAAGTGGTCGGCAAGATATCTTTCTACTTCTTAACAAGTAGTAGAAAGTCTTCTTTCTTATTTATCTGCCAAGGATCCCATGAGAGCTACCTCTTCCAAATGCGATGCTACAATAAAACGGCCTCCTTAATGATCTATTGAATTTCGTGGCTAGTCAGTCACATTAGTGTTTATATCCTTCGCAGTCCATTGAACTACGTCTTGGTGTTGACTTGGAAGTCACTCAATGAAATGTACGGATAAGTGCAAACGGTTATGAACGCGATCGCCTTAAACTAAAGCTATGGCTAACCAATTTTAGGAGAAATCATGATAATGCTTGGATGATGATTTTGAATGGGAGCTGTCGAACGATTGTTTCGTTTGACAGTGGGTTAGTTGGTTGTGCAAATCAGCGTTCAGCACTGACAGGAATTATGCGATCGTAATAACCCCAATGGTAAAATAAATAGCGTAGGTTACATGTGCGTTGAACGCCTGCCACCATGAAATTTAATGCGACTGACTTCATTTTTACTAGACCCTCAAACAGTGATGGATTTTTTTCGCGAAGTTTCTGAACAGTCGGCGGTGGCTCGTGCGCAGTTTCAGGCTTCCGGTTTGAAGTGAGTTCAGTGCTGGACAAATTTGTGGTGTTGGATGATTCATGCCAGTCATTTCGTGAACCAGTCTATTTGGCATTCAGTGATTCTCCACTCCCATAAATAATAGTCTTAGCGTCGAGTCTATACTGTTGAGCCCTTTCTCAAATACAAGATTGGGCCCTGATTGTCCTAGTTAATGTACACAGATTTCGCTGTAGCTGAGACTAATTCTATGCACTCCAGAAGTGTCCTTTCAAAGTTTCATTCGTTGGGGAGTTGGTTTGAGAGCGTTTTTCATTTGACTTGAACTGTTTCTTTAATTGGAGCCATGTAAAATCTAACTGTCTCTATTTTCTAATCACACTGAAGCTCTCGTTATTTTCTGTATGGCCATTCATTCTGAGAGGGTTGATTTGTATTGTTGATAATGCCACCTGTCGATGCCTAAATAACGAGGTTTCAAGTTATACGTTGAATTACGCGATGATTTAACTGCCCATGTTATTCCATTTTTCTGGGATCGCACCACATTGTAGACGGGGCTCGAACCTAGGACACTGCGTAGTGCCTGCCATTGAAACACAAATGCATATCGAGTTGAGGCAAGATGGCCCCGTGCATGGCTCCGAATGTTCTTGATTGTTGCAGTAGTACCAGTTATCCAGATGCATCACTTCCGTAGTTTTTCGCCATCTGCGTTAAGGTTCGTTTACAGTGTGATGTATTTTTCTACATGGAATTGAGACAAATGACTGCACTCTTGAAGTGGCTTTTCGAAGTATTGTTTGTTTAAAGCGCCTTACCACCAATACGGTGAGTCAGGTGGTGGTTTAACTGTACCTGATGCTCCATTTCTTTGAGATGGCATCACATTCTAGACGAGGCTTGAACTAACGACATTGCCACACAAATAAACTGCAAATTTTCGGCTACGCTACGTAAAATGACGCTGCAAAAGATAGAAACGGAGCTTTACTGAAAATTGTTCCTTCGTGGCATTTAATGCATCCGGTTGGCTGGCTGGTCCCTTTCCGTTGCTGACAAATGTGCCGACATTTTGTGAATTACTAGCGTGGCCCAGGCGTCTTAATTGTGTGTGCACGAAAAGGTTGACAGGCTGAAAAAAATCACTTTGAAGATAATTGATTGTTGATTTAAATAGTCATTGGATAGATTGATGCAAGAAGAATGTCCATGTTGGAAAAAGGCATCGCGGATTGTATTATTATACTTTTAGCTTCCGTTTCTAATGTGTTTCTGATAGGATAGCATGTATCCTAAACATTGGAATATCTAACATCTAAGTCACTCATTGGGTTCCTATCCCACTCGTCACTCGTCATTCAAATTCTATCGTCACTGTGGGCGTGAAGATGTGTGATGCCAAGCCCATAGGTTTTATTTGGAGGGAACATTCACTAAGCAGCTTGCCATGGTATTATGTGAACCAGGGTACATTTGCTTTTCAATTAATGACATTTACCAAGTTTCCTTTCTATACCGTCTAGTTTGTATGCTGTGGACCAGCAGTAATGAATGTGAAAATTGTAACGAAGGAATTTCCTCCTGTGCATTTTTGACATCTGCGGAGTCGATTATATGTTACCATGCCAACCCACGTTTGCTACCTGAGTAATTAATCTTCAAACTTCTTACTGCGATTGTTATGCTTAGGACATTTGGTAATTACTACTACGTAACGACCCTTCAGGTCGCTACTTTTTTTAAAAAAAATTCGTTAGTGTGCGCGGTATAACTGCGCTCGTGACTACAAGAAGCCGTGTGAATAAACAGAAATGGGTTGAGCGTGTTCCGTGGCGGACTGCTGTGGTTGCATCTGCAGGGTGTAGATGGCGGTGGAGTAACACACTCATTTCGTATGAAATCGACTTCTCATTTGGCTTGTGTATTTGTGGGAACATATTTCTGACTTCTTTTGGAAACTA